GCAAGAGTAGCTGTTGGTTAGGAACTTAGAGAAAAACAATGCAATTCTGGATAGAGCTGGTAGGTGATATTTCACGATTTGTATGCCTTTGTCTAGTTGGCTTCCTCTAGTATGCCTTGGTCTAGTTGGCAACATCTTTTAGCACGCAGAACTACTACTGACTTACTTTGAGGGTTTTATTGGGTCCATCAACGTGCACCCTCAAGAACTTTTTTGATTGTGCTATGACCTCTTATTATATTATTATAAGGTGCTTTCTGATTGGTCGAGAATCTTAGAAGACGAATTTTCATGGGTGAGAAACTCGCCCAAAATTTCGTGGATGCAGTTGTGCATGCAGCAGCAGCGCCTTCAWCAAATTTGTAAATAGCTTCAAATAATATCTACCTCCACAATTATGTCCTACATATCCTTGCCGACACCGACAGGCAAAGTTACTCTGCCCATTGATACAAGTTCCTCCATTTTTACAAGGGTTGCGAAAGCCACAGTAATCTGCCTCTGATAAAAATGACAAACRAACAAGACAGTTTTCATAACTGATATCCACAGAGAACCTCAAAAAATTTAAACCTTAATCAATGAATTYTGGAACGATGCCCCTTCTGGGCYACTTCCATTCCGTATGAAAGAATAATAGAAATATTTGATTTTCAAGTTAAGGCAATATGGCGGAATAATCACGTTTACACGGGATTTGAATGATGGCCGTCTTTCAGTTTGATTACAATGAAATACAGGTTTGGTACCTTGGCAGTTTTGTCCTTTATAACCAGGCTTACAGGAACACTTATAGTCTTCATGGACTAAAACAGGTTCCTCACAGGCGGCTCCGTTCTTGCATGGATTAGGAATACATTTACTTATAGCTGCGGTAAAAAAAAACAAAACTAACAATCTCAATCACAAGATGAAGCAGTACCTAATAATTTTTCTTTCTTCATTACTCTTAATTCTGATYGTTCAAAAGGTGGGGGAAAATGTGTTTTTCCACAGATAAATGAGCAATATTGGACCAACAAACATCATCTAACGTGCAGTTGGAGTTTTTTTTGGATTAAATTTGTGAAGCAAAGGCTTGGCTCGATGATCTGACAATAATGAGTGATATACACAACAATGGGTGATATACACACACAAAAAAAATGCGTTATCGCCCAAAATAGTCATATCGAAACCATTTTTAATGAATATTGATCTTTAGGAACATCAAACACTTATATTGACTTTGAAGTGCACCAAACATATTTAGATTAGTGCCATTGTGCCACCCACGGAGGTTTTGATGATCAAGCAATGTTGGCTGGACTTGCAATGTTCAAATACTGTTCGGAGTCCCCATCATTTTTCTTTGGGTTCAAGGCTAAGGCAACATAATTTATACTACCTTCGCAGTTATCTCCCTTGTAGCCACGGACACATGTACACTGGAAACCTGACTTTGTCGGGTAACAGTTGCCACTGTTTTTACAGGGGTTTGGAAGACATTGATTCCTGTCTGGATRAGAAAAGCATGGTTGAAACCTAATTTCCCAATTCTCKGTGTTAGCCTCATTTGCGCGCATGCAAAATATTCCTAATTGTGAGAATAAAAGTGTGAGTCTTCAAATCAWTTCTATTGTTTTTCCTTTCAAATTCCATGCGTTTTCTCGGGCTTTACAATAAARCAWTAAAGTRTGTGACTTGATTTTGAGGCTAWCAAAGAGCAAACCAGAACTTGAAATTGGAGTATTGTAAATCAAAATCAATTATCAAATAATACTAATGTAATACATCGTATATATTTATGCAATCTTGAAATCAACCATTGCCTGTCGCTTGCTTGCGTTATGGTAAATGAGAAGTCAAGCAAAAAGTGATCAATAGCTTGCATTATTAAGCAATTTCAAAGACTCCGATTTGAATTAATTGCAATAGAATTACTCGTTTTTAATCGTTACCAGAAGATTCAAAATGAACAATAGTTGATGTGGAAGAAAGATGACCGCTGTGAGGTATAATGCAAAGACGTATACTAGATTCATCTTAGAAACAAAACAATCTAATGTACATGTATTTAAGGTGAATTTTCTTTTGTTTTGTCACCCGAATGAAGACTGTTTCATGTCCTATGCATAGTGTCACTGACAGAAGAACGAAAGAGGAAAGCCGAACATCAAGAAGTGAATGAGACCCCTATTACCATATTCGTCATGTGGCTTTACCTACCTTCGCAATGTTTACCCATGTATCCTAGAGGACACGTGCATTCATAGTCGCTGGAAAACGCAGTGCAAACACCATCATTTAGACAAGGATTAGGAGTGCACTTAGCTTTCCCTGTGCCTAGAAAGATACAGCAGATTAGATTATGCGTTGCTGCTTTTTTGCTTATAAGCTCCAGGTCATTTTGATGAATACGACGGACAATCGATAAGATGCCTTTTCACATGAATGCTGTATTATTTGTTAATGAATCATCTTGCTTAAAAACATGATCGAAGACAACAATAAAAAATATTTTCATTACAATAGACGGACTAAGCCCGGGATTTAACCGGGGAAAAAAGACAAACCAATCCGTTAAATCTTTGGGATCATTTTAATGAAAATAAAGTATATTATTGTTTTTATTAAAATTTTCAGGTAATGGTGGTATTGGACACAGGACCATACAAACATTATTAAAAAACTAAATACAAATTAATCTAATAAATGCAATCAAACGTCAAATACAGAGATTTACTTGGGATCTATAGCTAATTGATATAGATAAAGAGATTGCGATTGCTGGCTATGATTTGTGACATTAAATGGTGTCTTCAAGAGCTAAATTTAATAATCACCATGCAGTTCATGTCGTGATATTTTGTTTTAGTATCTAAAATTCGTTAGATCTTGACCGAGGTTTGGAAACAACAAATTGATGTACTATTACCTTGGTGATGATGATGATGATGGTGCTGCATTTGTTGCATTTGTTGCATACTACGACCCAATAGCTGTGGTGGGATTGCTTGGTTGTTGAACTGTGAATAACGATTAAAAAAAACATCTTGGGGTTTTACAAACTGCTGTGGTCCAGCTTGTTGTAGCTCAGGCGTAATTTGATCGTAATTAGGTCTTGCTAACATAAGAGGAAAATCAGGTGTCTCCTTAAAATGCTCGTTCTCTTGTATTAAAGGTGGAAGTTCCTTTGTATCAATACCAGCTTTAGCTGCTAGCTCATTCTCTGGAAGTACAAAATCCGTTTGTTTTGGATTGAAGATCGGCGGAATTTCTTCTACCCCAAGCTCCTGCAAAGGTGGGGTGTTTTGAAACGGAAGAAAAAGTCGTTTCTGTTGCTGTCTTATTCTATTATTCATATTTAAGAGATTATTTACAACAGTTTTATATGGTGTAGCTCCCCATAAGTGAATTGCCTTGACTGGTTTCGGAGGTTGTCGTGGCTTGCTTAAACGATCCTTGATGACTGCCGAAGTTGCGACGACACGAAGAGGTGTCATTGCCTGAGGGATAGCCTCCTCATCTTTCTTGTTAATACTGTTAATTTGTTTTAAAGTATGAGCCAATTCATCGCGTTTCTCAGTTAGGTTAGCTGTCTTGTTTAAGTGATAGTCCTTTGCCGTGACATTGGTAAAGTTCCCGATGCTATTTGATTTGTGATTAAAGCCATAACTTGCTGACATAATCCAACACAACCCAAACAGTCTTGCTGCCGCGTTCGCCATCATTCATGGTACACCAAAAGACAGAAAAAATACTCTTTTTATCCTTATTTTCATGGCAAAATTTGAAATAAAAACATTTTAGAGGCCATTTAGCCTCCGGACAGGTTGATCTCAAGGGGTTAACCCTTACCTGCTAACCTCGATTTCTGATTGAATGACATAAAAATGCACTTGAGAAACTACTATTTGACAACCTGCAGAGGGCAATTACACTCAACACCAGTCCATTGGGTTTTTTTAATAATAGGACAATTAACTTATAAGACAATTTAGACACAAAACCTTCCGCCTACAAAAGCATTTCTTAGTATTAGGCAATGTTTAAACGTACTTTTCGTCTAGACCAAAATACACCAATGAAAAAGGACCAAAAAAATGTTAACATTATGAATAAGTATACATTTTAATTATCAAAACATATTAATAGTCATTAGATGGATCAAGTACAATCCATTGTTTTTTGTTATGTTGGCATTTGTAGTTATAGCTTTGTTTAAAAGCAAAAAACAAACAAACTTAAAAAAAGAATAAACAGATTAAAAATATAGAACTAAACAAATAAACAAGCAACCAACCTATCGACCGATGAAATGAATGGCTTAACTTACAATGTTACGAGCCTGACTCACTTACAGCCTGCCTGCCTGCCTGTGTCTGACTGAAGTAGAAAAACACACAAGCGCCAGACAGGCTCTTGAACTCTTAGATTTTTTTAAATACTACTTTAAAGTTTTTTTTACTTTCTTTAGTCATGACAACATACGATGGGAAAATCTCCAACACAGAAAATGTGCATTAATTTTCGGTTTGACAGAAAGCAATGTGGCGGCAAAAGACGGCGCTGATACCATACAAAAAACCGGACACAAGGCTGAAGATTCAGTACAAAGTGGACCACATTTGCAAAGCAATAAGTCGTGCTTCCTTGGCATGAGTACGCATTTGATGTGATGCTGGCGTGCGCTTCGCCTGAAAGTCTGTTTAACCTAATCAAGAATATTCTAAAATTATTCCGTTATTCGAAAAAAATCAACCTTGACCACATCAAATTTGTGACTAGTTACCAGTCTCTTATTGAATTTCGGAAGGGCCAATAGAAAATAGTCATTATTTTGTTGGCTAAAACATGGCTGGAGTTACAGTTCTCACCCTTTTTAAAGCAACACCGAAAAAAGCCTCCCTAAGAAAGTCTTCTTTGTAGGACTTCTTTGTATCACGGAACATCGACTTCCAGTTATGTAAAGAAACGTACAAATAGGTGAGAGGAACTGATTTAGCAAACATGGAAAAATTTGCGAGAACTAAAACTCCCATCATGCTTTTTTGCACAAGAAGGACGTCGCCGAACTATGCCTATGAATTCATTTCTGCCAACTTCGTCCGTATACAGTAAAAATCCACGTATAAGAACCTAACATTTAAGAACCTGTTAGGCTAAAATTTCATTTTTAAGCACCTTTCACACAACAACCATTTTAGGCTAAAATTCTAAAACAGATTATTATTATTATTTTGAAAAAAAGAAAAAAATCTCAAAATAAAGAAAAAATATTCTCAAAAATATTTTTGTAAAACAGTCTGATTATAGTTTTTACAGCATTTGATTTTAACAGTAGCGTAGTATTTTGCTTACCGAATCCTCCAAGAATACTGCTATCAGATATAAAAGACCACATCATTTAAAAATTCTTACTTTTCTTCTTGAACAAAAGTTAAGAACCTAATTAATAACCTAGTTAGCCTAATTTTACACAAAGTACCATTTATATAAGAACCTGTTTAGGCTAACTTGAAAAAATCTAGGTTCTTATAGGTGGGTTTTTACTATATAGTAAATTCCTTTTTTACTAATACTGACGATTTCTTCATGAGTCCAAATTTTGAGAAATTTTATTGGCAGTACACCTTATAAGGCCTTGTTTTTCGTGAATTTTAGCTGAAAAAATTCAGCTTACCTCGCTAAAATGGCGGCCTTCTAGGACACAAAGATGTCTAGATTCAGACTCGTACCCAGTCGCTTCTCCGGCAGTTTTTTAGAGACGCGCAATGCATCAAGGGAAGGGCGAAGGGAAAGCCATCAACCTCTTTGAGCGTAAGTAACGACTGGGTACGAGTCTGGTCTAGATTCCCGCCAAACATGCTTTTGGGTATCGATTGCATACGGTTTACTTTCGGAACTCTTCGTTTTCTGAAACTTCATTTCTGTAGCGCGAAATTTGACTTTAATTTTTTCATTCTTTGCACGATACTGGTACCGGCACGATACTGGGTGACACACTGTAATATTTCGACGGTCATCAAAAGAAGAAAAAAGATCTCAAAATACACTTATAAAAACTACATGAGTCGCTCAGTCGTAAGAAACTGCGCTAAATTTATGGGTGAGTTTGAGAAATGAGGGCAAAAATTCGAAAAAGGTAAATAATTACTCCCTCTCCCCTTGGAATCAAAATAAACGACGCTTTTGCCCATACCACCCTGAATGTATTTATGTAATGTTTAAAGGCCGACAATGAGGACTTGACGGGGTTTCAAAAGTCCGCGCAATTAGTTCCAGTCCGAGGCGCTAGCCGAGGACTGGAACTAATTGCAAGGACTTTGAAATCCCGTCAAGTCCGAATTGGAGGCCTTTGAACGACTTCAAAAACTCATTAATTATTCGGGAGGGAAAAAAAGCGAAGGRAATACATATAACAGAAATATATTGATTTATTGCATCTCCACTAAGGTTTTCAGTTTTCATAATTTTGAATACATGAAGCACCGTTTGTTGTTCTTCAATTCCCGGACGGCTTTCTGAAAMAAAAGCTATTCAAATTGTCTTTGTCTGCTATTCATGGCATTCCTAATGAGTCTAATTCATAAGTTATATAAGTATGTTATCTTCCGAGGAATCGCATCCGAAACTCGGTGGCGTAATGGTATAAGACGGCGCATATAGACTGGACGGTAGGGGATCGAGTCGTGATGGAGTTATGTATCAAAGACCTTTTTTCACTAAATTAATGTTAAACTGATTATTTCTAATAATTTGATTATCATTAGCTAGTAGTAGTTGGAAACATGGTAGAAGTAACTGGAAATAAGGTAGAAGTAACTGGAAATAATGTAGAAGTAACTTGAAAAAGGTAGAAGTAACTGGAAATAAGGTAGAATACAAGGTACGAGTACTTCCTCTGGTTTCAAAAAAAGGTAGAAGTAACTGGAAATAAGGTAGAATACAAGGTACGAGTACTTCCTCTGGTTTCAAGTTACTTCACGTGGTACAAATTACAAACAGGGATTGGTTGAATACCTCATGAATAATTAATGAGTTTTTGAATTATTATTCGTGTCGCAAATCGTGGCACGCTTTTCTTCAGAAGTTTTCCACTTCAATAAGTATTTGGCAAAAGAAGCACTTCTGAGGCCGTTTATTTTTCAGTTTCCAATTAAAATTTTAGTTAATTTTAGACGTTGCCCCCCCCCTCCCCCTTTAATCGCATAAAATTAGATCCCCCCCCTTCCTGATTAATATTGCGCTGTACCTAAATATTGAAAAAGATGTTAAAAATTGTAGCTAGAAGGAGCGTATCAACATGTGGAAAACTTTACATGTCTTTAATCCCCCTTTTGACATTTTTTTGAAAGCATGGAGAATATATTACATATAAAATATACACGTTCAAGTTCATCAATTTTCTTTATTGCACATACTGTATAACTAGCGTTAATCTTTTTTTTACATTTTTTGAATTGTTATTAGGATATGAAAACACATATCTTTACGTTAATCTAATACCCCAGTCAGTCAAATACCCCAGTGTCGAATTCATAGCAAAAATCCGCTGCTTTATTTGACAACAGATTCTCCTGCGCAAAGAGCTGACCAAACACAAAAGAGAGTACTAGAAAATGTCGTTATTCAAATAGCCTTGAAAATTTGCATTTTCCCCGAGTTGAGACTAACCCTGTATTCCCATAAGACCAAAGGGAGAGAATCTGCTGTCAAATAAAACAGCGGCTATTCGCTTTGAATTCGAAAATTGAACATTGTGCTGAGAAAGTACAATAAAGGCATTGTTGGATAGAAATATCGACATTCAAGAAAATCAATATTAAGTCCTCGGCAGCTAGGGAGAACGTTAGATACCTGTCAATCATTAGCTATACTGACGTCATACACTACTCTCTGTGAATTTATCGACCATATAATGACGTTTGGGAGGACGTTAGACATTATAATTACGAACGTCATACACGGTGCTCTGTGCGTTTATCGACCATATAAGGACGTTCGGTATAACGTTAGATACTCCATAATTAGCTATGAAGACGTCATACACGATTCTCTGTGCGTTTATCCACAATATTATGACGTTCGGAAGGACGTTAGATTTTTTATAATTAAAAATGCGGACGTCATATACCATTCTCTATGCGTTTATCGACTATATAATGACGTTTGGGAGAACGTAAGTTGTCTATAATTAGCTATACAGACGTCATACACGATGCTCTGTGCGTCAGAAAATGATAAAAAAAAATGATTTTAAAAAATCCATACGAATTAACGTTAGTTTTATCAGAGTTTTTAGTCCATAGCCTATTCCATTTTAAATAATGGAATAGGCTCTGTGGTCTAGGTCAAATGTCACACACTTGACTAGTTAAGCTCAAACTTAGTATTATCATTAATGGTATATATAAATTTATAATGGATTATTCTACTTATTCATTCACAATAAGACATGACAAAAATTAGCAAGGAGTATTTAGGATATAAATTTTGGCCAACACGCTTGGTGAACGCATAATATAAGAATTTATACAAATTATCAATGAGAGCGATAGTGCATCTATGAAATAGAATCTCTTGGAAAACACAGAGGATGATGAAAATAAAGTTTTTGGTTGGATCACCAAATTTAAATAAAATAGTTGTGATTTAAAAATACCTCGAATGAATGCTTTGGTGCATGCCCAATTGATCGGAAATTATAGCACTATCAGAGTTCTCACCAAAGCGTTTGAGCACGACTCGAGCCTGGATTCTCTCTTGATGATGAACCGTACTGGTCGTGAAATCACAGACGGTGTCTCTACGTTTGCGTAACCTACATTTCGTATTTTCTGATCCGCTGACTTGATTTTGGACCTGCAGGTCAGGCTGACGGTTACAATATCGTCTCGCATTCATTTGGAGCTCTGGGGAGTTTGGAAAGGTCGACCTTTCTTTCTTGCTATTTTTCTCTTCTCTCTTTTCAGAAGAAGACAGCTCACCTGTGATCTCCTTTTCATTTTTCGAAATGGAACTGTAGTTTTGAACCTTGCTTTCCATCGGAATCTTTGTCTGTCTACCATGAGCTGGTTCAGAGATTGGCTTTTCATTACCGATTGCTACTGCCCGTCTTTTTTTTACCGATTTATTCGCTTTTTTTATCTTTTTCCTCTCCAGCTCAAGATCTAGTGGCGGTAGTCGGAAAGAGCAGATATTGATGGCCCTCAGCATTTCGGGTTCCACATTTTTTGAGAAATCTTCCTCCTGCTGACTTCTTGTCAATTTACCGGACACTGTGCTAGTAGCAATTCTCTCTCTTTCCCAATCCATCTTGTTCCCTTTTCTCTCTCTTGCTCCGAATATCTCCTTTTTCTCAGACGCATCGTGTTCAAGAAGGGGAAAGTGATAATCCACTGGATGGACAATGCCCACAGTTTTTGCTTTACTGTATTTTTCATCTCCTGTGGTGATTTCTTCTGCCCAAATTGCCATGGTGCTTGCGTGAACTTTGCTCGCTGTTTGATCATTTGGTGGTTGTCTACCTTTATGTGGTTCCGGGATCTGTACATTTTCTTCTACCGAATTGTTCACAATCTTTGCTTTTCTGCTATTTTTCTTCACATTAAATTCCAGACTAGCCAGGTGGACTGTGATTTCCTCTAAATCATTTTCCATGAACCTTGTTTGAACATTGCTCTTTCCTTGAATATTTGATTGTTGAAATGGGCCCGGCATTGGTCTTTCTTTTAGCTTGTCAATTGTCTTTGCTTTTGTATCCAATCTCTTTGCCTTTTTTATCTTTTTCCTTTCAAGCTCAAGATACAAAGGAGGTAGTCTGACTGACAGAATATTCTCCTTTCTCCTTTCAGGGTCCAATTTAATCGCGCTATATTTCTTCTGCTGGCTATCCTTTGTTAATTGTTCGACCGCGAAGACATGGTCAATTCTCTTTCTTTCCAAATCGGTTTTATTTGTCAGTTTTTCCCTTACATCTCCCAAAATCTTTTCGCTTCTTTTCGAGTTCGGTTTACCCAGTTTAAGATCATCAGAATTATGTTGATCATTCATGATAGTTTTAATATGTCAGTTTGACTCTCTAATACTAATACTGTAGAGTGACTGTGTAATATAATCAACGTTGTTTGTACGGTGATATATATATTCTAACCTATCAGAGTGATTGCGGCATGCCTTTGACAATTTGAAAGCAGGCGTTTACTGCATGTTTTTAAAGCAGTTTTTAATGGTTTAATATTTTACTATCGACGAATAAGCCCAGAAAATGATATATACTGATTTATTTTTTGACATTTATGAATACCCGTTTTAAGTCCGTTTGAACGTTATCGATCATGGACAGTTAGTAGCTTAGTTAATTAAGGTTACTTTACTAGATGTTATTAGAGTCATTATCATCCGTGGTGAAACAATTACTACTGGTCAGTGTTTAATAGTAACTATTAGGGTGTAGTAGGTCACCAAAAGGGAAAATCAAAACCGTGTTTGCCTAATTTTTGTCGCATGTCATAAGTTAACTAGCTATCGGGAGCTAATAGGGGGTAATAGTATTTATGCACTAGTCAATTAAAACCCCCAGCCCCCGACACCCGGGAAGTGACGAGGAATTTAACGTGAGTGTGTTCAAATAAGTCATTTCCACCAGTAGTCAGTGGCACATTCATTGTTAAAATCCACGCTACTGTTGACCCGCTATTTTGGTCTAGTAGCATATAACAAAACAAACACCTTTCAAGCAAATTTTCTGTGATACACAGGGTTAATTTTTGCACAATCCTGTGTACTCACTTGGGTACTACATTAGGCTAATTGGAAGGAGAAAAACATGTTTAATAAGTTTCTTTTAAAAACAATTGATGCAAGGAAAATTGCACAAATAAAAAAAAAACAGGGTTGAATGCCAATGCTTTCGTGGTATTTCTGAAGATAGTCGACCTCTAGTTTCCAGACTCATACAAACGCGCGTTAAAATCCCTGCTCTATGCCCCGCTTTGAAAACAATTCATCAAAATTCTGACCCCTGGGGCAATCTTGCTGTTAAAACCACGTTAAAAACGCGTCACGTCTTTTTTCCTGAATTTCTCACTGAGATTGTCAGAGATTGTCTGAATTTCTCATTGGCAACCAGTTTTGACTTACAGCTGGCTGGGACATAAGAACAGATATATTTCTCCCAGGAACCCGTCGGCTCCTCCTAAACTTTAACATTGATGAAATGTTAATGACCCTGGTATTCTCCGGGACCTGTGATCTAAGGGGGCGAGGCTTCCATTGACTGAATGATTCATAAAGGCAGGTACTGAAGTGTCTTCCATTATTCAGGCCAGTCCAGTACTGACTGGTCAAGCATCGTCGGACTATTGATGTGCAGTCTGATGTCTGTATCTACATGAAGTGTGAACCCACTGTAACTACCGATAAAAACAGAGGGCTCATCTTTCTTTTTCATCAGCTCCAGTTTTTCTGTTGATAAAACTAGGGGCAATTCGATGTTCGCATAGAATGCCTTCAGCATTTTTTGGACAGATGCAGGCAAATCCATAATCGCTGTTGGTAAGTGCACTATCAACGCAGGTCCCGCCATTTAAACAAAGATTTTGTCTTGAGCATGGACTGTGAACTAAAGGTAAAAAACTGTGTTAGGTAGAATTTGCTTCGTGAACTTCCTTTTTTATGTTTTTAAAAACGTTAACTTCCTGGACGAAGACATTTAGATACGCATTTTGAGGCTCTACTCTACATGCGGGGATGCATTGGGCATTTGAACTGAAATGATGTGTCTTCATAGCATGATTAGAACAAAATGGTCAGCTAAAAATACGTACTAAAGAAGGCAAAAAGGAAATAAAGAAGAAGAATAACAAGAAGAAGAATAACAAGAAGAAGAAGAATTAGAAGAAGAAAAAGAAGAAGAAGAAGAAGAAGAAGAAGAAAAAGAAGAAGAAGAAGAAGAAGAAGAAGAAGAAGAAGAAGAAGAAGAAGAAAGGAGGAAGAATAGAATGCGTAGGAGGGTTAAGGAATAATGGACAATCACCGGAAAATTTGATTAGTGTACAGAGTTTGTAAATCATATATATGCAAATGTTCTAATAATATACTTAAGATTCAATTTACGGAAAAAATGTTCTTATACAAAGTAAATTTTTGTACACTTTGTAAAGTATCTTGTAAATTTTGCTCGATCATACATTGGTAATATCTTGTAAAATCAATTTACAATGTTTGTAAAAGGAAATTTTGTGTGTAAATTAAATAATTTACAGAATCTGTAAATTGATCAACTTTTCCAGTGTATCTGCTATTTCTATCCATATTGTCATAAATTCTGAACACTATGCAACAAGTTCGATGAAGATTTCTATATTTACGGAAAAATGATATAAAAGACTTTTATTTGTATCGTTAACAAGACTGAAACGTTTGAGTATGGCGATGATATGGCTTCGCCTCAAAATTAACGTTTCATAAAACCATATAAATCCACTTAAAGTTTCTGCCTTTTATACGATGATTCATGCAGGATTTGGTATGCATGCATTAACCCGTCATGCAGTCATACCTGTACGTCATCGAATGGCTTCCATACCTTCACAGTTCCTTCCCGAGTAACCATTGCTACACTGACAGACGAATTCAGTACCAAAGTTGGAACAATATCCGTCATTCATACACGGGTTTGGATGGCAGGGGTTTACTGTAAAGAGAAAACTTCCTAAGTACGTAGTCATAAGTTTTTGTAAAGGATTTCCCCCTATATCAGACTTTGATACTATGTAACTTCTTCGCCTTATGTATTTGTTTTTGTTTTTGTTTTGTTTCATAATCTACATAATTCCAAATCCATCGCCACGGAATTATGTATTATGAAAAGTAGGCTCCTTACCTTCACAAGTATTACCAAAGAAACCGTAAGGACATTTGCATTTAAACCCATTTATCATATCTTGACAGGTTCCACCATTTGCACATCTTGCTTGAGAACACTCGCTTATAACTAAATGAAGAGATTGTTAGTTTATCCGTAACTTCAGGAATAATTCTCAAGACAATTAACCTCAATATATTTACGGTGAAAGTTATTAACATTGTATTGAATGGTAAGTGAGATTTTCAAATCATATCAAGGAAAGTGTAAAGCAATGGTATGTCTATGTACTAGATCATGATGTCACCAAAAATTCACACAAAAAAATGAGAGGTATCACCATTGTTACACACTTAAAAGAAAACAAAATCCATCAAGACAAGAACGAGAACAAAATTAACCAACAGTATTTGGTGAAACGTACTTCAACATCAGGCTGCTTACAAATATTCACAAAAGGTTTCGCAAGAAGCGTAACAATCATTGTTAGCGCCTCCTTGTGTAAAGAATTTTTACAATGGATAACGATTTTGAATGAGACTTACCTTCGCATGTCTTTCCACGATACATTGATTGACAATTGCAGTAAAAGTCATTGTCTTGCTYAAAGCATGTTCCTGAGTTTTTACAAGGATTCGGATCACACTGATTTAATTCTAAAAGACAGATGTGACGCGCAAGTGTTAAAAATATCATCACAGAAATAACGCTTATTTATTATAATTAAAAGTTTGATGAGTAAGGTGTAAACTTGTGTAAAACTCTGGGTTTCACAAATGCACCTCAATGCATGGAAACTTATTTTAATCTTTGATCATTATAAAATGGAAAATATGCCATGGAGAGTTTTGGAGCACAACAATCGGCACAGAAAGGCATATCAATAAACTATAAAGACGTTCACGTATTATGAAATTGGCAGCGTAGGTAACACTTCCAGATCTTTCAGATCTAAAACCAAATCTAAAATGTAGTGGCATCTATGATCAACGAAACAATAAGTATGCGGACAAGTATACTGTTGGAAAATGAAGAGATTGTTTAAGGACATTCGCGGACTCAAGGAGCATGTAATGAAATTTTATGGGAAATGCATATTTGATAGCAAAAGCTAAAGTTTTGACGGTGACATTGATACAGCAATCAAAGTAGGAGCAATGTCAGTGAGTCACTTTTTCATGCTTTTTTTTTAAACTTACGTTCACAGTTAACTCCTTTATATCCTTCTTTGCAGAGACAAATATAAGAATCCTCAGTTTCACTACACTCTCCTCCATGTCGACATGGATTGGGATGACACCTGCTGATATCTTAAAGCAAAAATAAAAGCAAGATAAGTAAAAATGCTTGATCGATAGTTGGATTTAGAGTACAAACATTAAATGTGTGCAACACTTTCCACTATTTACTACAAAATAGTGTTAATAAAACAATAGAAAACAATAGAATTAGCATAATTTAGCAGTATTTAGTGGTATTTGTGTTGCACAGTTTTAGCGTTTGTACTCTATTAGAACGGCACCTTATTACCACTCAGATATGATCTTATAAAATCAATATTATAAATTGGATCCTATTGGAATTGAAGTTTATTATTATTATTATTTCTAAATAGGTGTCTTTGGTAGGTCTCGCAAAGTACTGCATATTGAATGAAATAGTTGATATTTCAGATATTTAGTCAATAATAAAAAGAAATGCACGTTATAATCTAAGCTAAGACCGAAAAGTTATTGCGCCGACGAGAAAGGCTAATTATAATGCTTGAATTCAGAATAAAGTTTGAGCTCTAAAAGTCAAATTCGGTTACTTGTATTTTTTAAAAGACCTATGTGCGTCTGAGAGCTTTCTTTGTTTTAAAAATTATCCCCTGTTAAACGGTGTGTCTTCTGACTGCTTCAAAATCAAAAATGGTCAACTTTCAGTTGGTGTTAAAAAATCACGCTTTGGGTGCACGTTGGACTTTTTTATACTTTTTACAGTATACTTAAAAGTAATATACTGTGCAATGATGCAAACCTTGACAGTTTTCCCCTCTGAATCCTACTTTACATGTGCACAGATGTCTTCCCATTGACTCCTCTGTGCAGGTCCCCCCATTCTTGCAAGTTTCAGTGTCGCATTCTTTCCGGACTGATGAGAAATAATTTAATCATATTAAATAATTTTCTAAATAAACTTTAAAAAATAGTTGTATCCTGAGAGATCCTGTATCCAGGGGGTGGTCTTCTGTCACTCCCTACTCGCTCTCAGGAGAAATATCCCTGTTTACGGAGCCTATTTAATTAAATCAAATTTTAGGATGTTCACAAAGTCGAAATGTTGAGATATGCATGGTTTTTAGCCAGTTTAAAGATGCGGCTTGATCTGCTAGCACATTAAAAAGTTAAAAGAGGCTTTTGCTTGAAAGACATCCCTGTCAAGGAAGAGACTTTAAAGGAGGAACTTACATTCACAATGTTTGCCAATGAATCCTTGAGCACAGCTACAGTAATATCCTCTTTTTTTCGGCATACATCTCCCTTCATGTTGACATGGTCTTCCAAGACAAGGTCCAGCGCCTGTGTTTTTAGACCATTTGTGAAGGAGTTTAAAGAGAACATGTAAAACTCACAGCACCAACAACAACAAAAAAGTTTTGAAGAACAATAGGTAAAAATCACGATGCGTTAGTATAATCGTCGTAACGGTTTTTCATTTCAACAATCATATCATTCCTGTTATCATAGAGATTATGATAATTGCATTAAAATTAGGGAAGAAGATGATAATGACGACTATAATTTAGGAAAATACCCTTGATGATAAAAAAAACAGCAAGATAATATAATAATCTGACCTTCGTAGCGCACTTCTTGGCCATAATCATCACCACTAATAAACTGATATCTCCCAAACAGACTAGGAATAAATTGTCGTCGATCGTTTATTTTTTTGGATGAAAAAATATTGTTCTTTTTATAGACATTTTCTTTTTTCCTCACCACTTGTATTTCACGATCCTTTTTCAGGGAATGTTTATCAAAATTTAATTTCTGAGTATTTGAAGTAGTTATATCTTTAGTGTGTCCTTTTGACTTGTAGATGTTTTCTTTCGGTTCATTGTAAGAACCTGTTATACTTGATACGTTAGCACAAATGAAGAACGTCTGTAATAAAATGGCTGAGAACCTAACCATGACTCTTCATTGTTGTCTGCTTTAACCAAGGTTTAAAGAGTCTTGATATAATTAAAAATTGTAGCTCGCAGTTAAGTAAAGGAATTTTTCTTTTGTCGGTTCTGATCTTTCCAAGAATATAGTTAAATTGTAGAGGGTACAATGAAGCCACCTGACAGGAGGTCATTCCATTTGATTAATAATTCATCGAAGTGTGAACTTAAAACTTCTTATTTGTTGTTGTTAGAGTAAAGCACTTTTGAATTGACAAGCAATTGTAAAATAATACAAACAAATTCATTTCTATAAAAAAATATTCAGAATTGTCGTGTGCTGAAATTCCCCCTAGTAACAACGTGGACAATTGAACAAAAATATACGTTCTTTTTATGCTAAATTGGCTTTGAATTAAGTTTATATTACCTCTTTTTGCATTGGTTTGAGTAAAAATGGGAATAACAATAGAAAAAAAATTATTAATTTTCTAAAATTATATCAATGCGCATGTATTCAATTTAAAATTCATTTTGCTTGCTCTTCATGAACATTAACTAGGTTACATTTGTAGAGTATATTTGTAGCTCTGTAAAAATAATAGATAAAAAATAAAATTAATAATGATGATAAATGCGCAAATTTCCTTTCACATACAACATCAAATCTTATAGGCGAGCCTTATAATGCAGCTTAGTGGCTCGAGTTGACCCCAATGGTCTTTCAAGAATCACCAACTCAAAAATCAATCAACATTCTCGAAAGGTCATATATTAATATTGGACAAACACGATGAGATAATTATACGACAGACAAGGGTATATTTTTGGGTCAAAAGCTGGAATATCCTGCCTGTTTCCTTTGTTTACTCCCCAAATATTATACAAAAATTGAGATTACAATAGAAACCTGTGATGATCGCTGCCTAAAGACTGGAACGGATGTGAATGCTGCCACATGTGGCTTGTTTTAGGGGTATTGTTTCTCGCTCGGTCACTTTGGGCGAGCGAATGGTCGACTGAGAGGAAAAGTCGGAACAAGCTCGCTTTTCACGATATTCAAGATGTCTTCTTTCGAAATCCACAAAGATCTTCGGTTATCAATCGTCACTCAAGTTCTCGAGCTTCAAAAGCGAAAGACATTGACAACAGAGAATTAATCTCAACTAAGATTAGCCCAACAGGTTGGGTCACCAAATGTCGTGGCTTGGAATGTGTTAGCACTGCTTCTTCATCTAGTGCAAGTAATTTTCTGAACAAAGCACTGAATGTGTTGGATAGGTTTCCTTCTCTTAATAGTGACTCAAAGAAGATTTTTTATAAACCAGAGTTGTCTCTAGCAAAAACTCTTGCTACCTCTGCTGGTGTAGAGGAAACACATTTACAAAATGGTGCCAATAATAGTACCAGGTTGACAAAAAAGTCGCATGGAAAAATTAATCCCGATTACAATGCCAAACGGCAGGATTGGCTTGGTATTACAGAGGGACACAACATATACGGTCCACATTTGGGAAATCGGCAGGGTCCAATTCATGTTATGGATCCTTTCTACAGTAATGGCAATGCTGGGAACATGCATTCAACTCATAATGGCTACCGTGTTCATCATTCACCATTTCGTGGTAATACGATACATCATGGCAATATGGCGCCCCCTTTTATAACTCATCATCGGCGCCATCCTTTGCCAGACTTCAAATTTAACGATGGACCAATTCCTCCATATCCAGATCTGCCTGGACTTTTGCCAAATACAGGAGTTAATTTTCCTATACATCACTATCCAGATACTCCATTTGCTCCTGGTGTTATGCATCATCCAGTAGAAGGTAATTTTCCAATACACAATTACCCCGATGGCCAAGCGATACCTGGAATTGTCCACCATGCAACAGCTAGTAATTACGCTGAGACACCACCAATAGTACCTGGAGTTTTACACCATGAAATGGATACAACCCTTCCGGTTCACCACTTTGCTGATAATCCTATGGTTCCTGATGTTATGCACACAGCAGCAGTTCCCACATTTCCAATACATCACTACTCCGGTCCTCCTGTTCCTGGTATTGTACATCAAGCAGCTAATGGTGAGCTTCCAGTACACCACTACGTTGAGCCATCCGGTGATCTTCCTGGTTTTCTGCATCAAGAAGGGGGAGTAAATTTGCCAGTACATCACTTTCCAGGGCCTCCTCACATCTTGAACGGAGCTGACGCTCTACATCAAGCGATTGTGCCTCAACAAATTGCACTTCCAGTGCCTCCCCCAGTCGAACCTCAAATTATCCCCTTTCCAGCTCCCCCACCAGTTGAAGTACACAAGGTACCTTTCCCTGTCCCCTATCCAGTACCCCTCCCTCCACAGATCAAAGAAGTTCCAATACCTATAAAAGTTCCTGTAAGGACGCCACCCGAGGTTCAAAAATATTACTACCCTGTTGGAGTACCACAACCAGGCCAGATTCACCACGTACCATATCCTGTGTATATACGTCAACCTCCTCAAGTTGCACCTTACTTTGTACGTGTGTTATCACCCCCTGAAAGAATTCCAGTTGCAATACCTTCTCCTCCGAAGATTGTTGTACAACGTGTGCCTTACCCGATACTAATCCCCAGGCCAGTGCATATAATTCATCGCGAGCCTCAACTATATTCCGGTAAGATAGGAAACCTTGTTAGAACAAGCTTATATTCCAAGACAATGTTTAAAAAACTGTTTTGCCCCTTTTGTTCCTAGTAGAAAGTGGTCACTGTAATATGAATCCTTGTGTCAACGGAGGTACTTGCAGTGCCTTTAAAGAATACTACAAATGCCATTGTCAAGAAGGATTCAAAGGTGTTCATTGTGAAGGTTAGAAATTCAATTCAAAAATCAAAATATACAGCTCATGCTCATTCTCTCTTGAATGTTTGTGGAATAGCGCGATACATTTTCGGGGTGTGGCAGCCGTGAAGGAGCTCGTGCGCGTAGCATTGTGACGGTCAGAAATTCTACTTGGAATTCTTTAATTAAGAAAAAGTAAATGGATAATTATCGAAAGCAAAAAAAAAAAAGAAAAAGAAAAAGAAAAAAAAGAGAAGAAAATAACATTCGAAACAGAGGGACAACTTCATCATCATCATCATCACCATGAGCTCAAGACAACTTCGAGATTGAACTTAGGGCACGTCTGCTTGGAGGATCGAAACTCTTCTCCAACAACCATTAACTAGTTTGTTATTTGTTTATTTGGGCTTTTAGGCATGGCAACCTGAATGAGTTATTCGATCTTTGTAATTTCCAGCTTGTTCTTTTTTATCGAGCTTCTTTCTTTTGTCGAGCTTTACTTTGATGTGGTCTTTTCACTTATTTGGTGTGAGCGTCTAGCTATTATATACTGCCTTTTATGATATCGAACTTTCTTTGACTCAAATCATTTATCAGCTTATCATTGCAAATCTTTTCTTTACAGAGCAAAGTAGGTGCCATCCGAACCCATGTAGAAACTTAGGAATATGCACAGAACTAGAAAAGGAATATGAATGCACTTGCCAGCCAGGATATAAAGGCATAAACTGTGAATGTAAGTAGCTCATCAATGATGTTCTAAATAAAACTTTCTAGTTCTTGTGAAGAAAATAAGGTAATTGTATAACAATCATTTATGCTTTTATTTGTTTTCTGATTCACTGAATTAGTGCCCGATCCCTGCACACCAACGCCATGCAAGAACAGTGCTATTTGTGCACAAGTAGGCAATTCATATGATTGTCAGTGCAAGATCGGCTGGATTGGAAGAGACTGTGGAAGTAGGTTAAATTATGAAATAATATTACTTAACAATTAGACCTCGAGGTCGAGTGGACTACGAGCTAATAGCCCATGAGGCCGAGTTCGCGAGGCCGAATGGGCTATTAACTCGTAGTCCACGAGTCCGAGAGGTCTAATTGTTTTAGTATAAACATACTAATCGGTCAATTAATGAAAAAAAATTGAAATATCCTTAAAATGATTTATAATTTATAATTTATTTATTTTGATTTTCCCGCGAGTGGTCTATCACAAATTAGACCATTAGTAGAGTAGCCAATCACAGCGCAGTATGAGTGATAGACCATTAGTATGTTTATACTAATATCTGTTGGTTGACCAGTTAATTAAATTTATCATTTTCTCAACATTTCAACTTCATGCAATTGGAAATTTCATTCCGTACTCAAGCTTTTTGTTTTTGTTTTTAGTTGAATCGAAATGCTTGCCAATAAATCCTTGCCAGAACGGTGGAGTTTGCAGCGAAGCGTTGGGAAGCTACCATTGCAATTGTGGGCGAGCCTGGCAGGGACTAAACTGCGAAAGTAAGTAAAGATTTTGCGAGTAACTATATATAATGAATGATCAAAAGAGACCATTAAAAAACCAGATGTTATCTAAGTGCCCTGAAATAAAAAGTTATGAATATTAGCTGCTTGCTGCACAATTGAGCAATGGAAGACGAACTTCGTATCTGGAGTGTACCCGTTAGAAATGTCGTCTCAACATTAGAAATTACTACAAAATAATTAGGATTTCCCATGGTTAAACATAAGAAAATATTTGCGACGAGTGGAATGGTAGCTAGTAGACTGCTTGCTTTGCACCATCATGGGAGCAATGATGCAAGTGAGCATTTCTCTGTTGATGCTTAAGGTTGTTTGGAATGTACATAAGATGAGATTAAAATACAAGACTACTTTATTTCCATGATGTAATATTCACTATAATATTGTTTGGTAATGGACTGTGACCACACTCATCAAGAGAGGATTGTTCTCTAGTCTTCTGTTGCATGCAGCTCAGGTCTTTGATACTTTTGATGTCGTTGAGCACTTTTTTATGAAAATGTCAGTACATGTGTAAGATGAGATTAGTTACATTTCATGAAAACGTTTTATTTTCAGTTCAAGGCGCAAACTCACCTTCTCAATTGTGGCAACCTTCAACGCATAATATGAACTTACCAACAGGTTAGAGTGTTTGTTTTTTACACTGAGAAAGTAAATGTTCGTCACATAAATTATTGTCAATGAATTTAATTGCAAAAAGTTGATTAAAGACCACATGTACCCAAGAATCTTTCTCGTTGCCTTTTTTCACGCACCAATCAAGGAAGCATTTGTAACTGAACCAAAAGGTTCTTGGATGCACGTTGTGCACGTGGGTGTTTAATATGCGAAAAATGATTTCTTTAGGTGGGTGTGCCAGATGTCACCCAAACGCTTATTGCAACCAAAATCGATGTGTTTGCTACCCTGGGTATATTGGTAATGGCATTGTATGTGATGCAGTATTTCAGCATAAAATGGTAAGGCTAGTCTTATTTATGTAAAGATTCCTCTGATCTCGTAGCTGTGAAGGCCAGTCAAGCTCGTTTGTGAAGAAGTTGAAATTCAGTTAAGACTCCTTTTCCAAGCTAAGGTTTTCTTCTATGACTTTTGTCCTCGCACTAGAATGTTAATCAACACAGAATAGAAAGTACGTAGAGGAATAGTGCAAGTCCCTCTTTCATTTCCAGCTAGTAACTTTATCATAGCGCATTCACCACTGTCATAGATCAGATTTTGAGAGACTATCGCAGGACATTGCAAATGCACGGATTACTGCATGGACAGGCGCCCTGGAACGATCACGGAACATGGCGATGACATTACATTTAGAATCTTTCACAGCTACTACACACTTAGCACGAAATAGCATTCCCGTCCACAGAGTTTTCAGATTGGAATTGACACCACATTACAATTTATTGCAGATGACAAGTAAAGAAACATATTTCCCATATAAACGACAAAGAGTATCTTCAGGAAAAAGACAACCTCTCCCGAATATCACCAAACAAAACTCATCTTGGGACTAATACTATTATTATAATAAACTTTAATATTACAAATCATGACTTACATTCCAAGCTAACATACGTTTTTGCTATATTATCCACGTATTATGCAGAGTGCTGTATTGATATGTGTATACACTTATTTCAATTAAGTTTGTCACTTCAAAAGCATAAGAATCATATAGGTTAGACCGAAAAGTATTGTGGGTACATATTCTTGAACACTCTGAAAATGCCGCGTGCTGTAACATTAGAGCGGATTTCGTATAACTGTGCAACGGCACGGATCACAACACGGACGCGGCACGTCATGGTCGCGGTCACAGAACCTCACCTTCTAGAATTCCAAGTAAAAATAAAGACTTAACAATACATCACCGCTAGGGCACGGTACGGTCACGGCGCAAAAGTGCCGTGCTTTTTTTTGTGTTTTTTTTTTTTTTTTTTTTGCACAGTCAATACGAAATCCGCTCTAACTGCTTCCGTATATAAAAGCTTCCGTATACATAAGCTTCTTCCTTATATAAACTCAGTGTCGTCATTGAAACGAAGTCACAGGGTATACTTAGCTTCAGCGCTATTGATTCTACCGCCATCTTTTGGATCAAATTAGCCGGACTTATCGATCAGACTCGTCCACAACACGAGTTAACACGATCTTCTCCTGTTTATTTATAGAGGGAGCTGCGGACGAGGTTTTATTTTAAACTGCATGAAAATGATGATTTTTTTTTCAGAACATCTATTTATTCTTACAATAGACGAAATAGTAATTAAGATTTTGACGGGAGCTCTTGTAATTATAATTAATTGATTTAAGGAATAAAAAACAGTTTTCCGTGTATCCTACTCTGATAAAAACACGCGGGATGTGGGGAGAACACGAGAGAAGCGTAGGAAACCACGACGCGAAGCGGAGTGGTTTCCAGCTTCTCGAGTGTTCTCCACATCCCAAATGTTTTTATCAGAGTATAATACAAGGAAAACTGTTTTTTATTGCTTTTATAAAATAACAAGCGCTCTCAAATATCCATGAGAAAAAAAAAAAGCCGAGAAAAAAAATGACGCGAGCGTGTATAATGCTCTAATCAAACACGTCTTTTTGGCCAATCAGAGCGCGCGTAATATGAAAGTTATTTTATAAATCGTAATTAATTGTAAGATTAATCCATCAATACTATCATATGTAGCTGGTTGAGGATCGTAGAACCTAATATTTTTTCTAATGAATAAAGTAAAATTAATATTATGTCAGTGCTGGTATTGTTTGGCCAATTAGCCTTGACTCACTTTGATCTTGATATACATGTTTACGACATAAACCGGAAGTAACTTAGGAATTGAAAAATATTCTTTTTGAATTTAACAAGAAGAAAGAAAATGTACTTTTCCTACAGACAAGCAATTTTTCTCTGATTCCAGGTGAATGGAATCACTTGATATTTGCCATCTAAACTCCTTGAGGGTCCTTAGACCTCGTTTCCATTCCTTTGTTTTCTTGTTTTCAATTCACTTTCAAAATTTTTATGTGACAACTTTTAATTGCACGTGTAAATGAGCAAAATTGGCCAATTTTTATGTGACAACTGTAGTTGCWGGAAAACTGGCATACTAGTTTTTATGTGACAACTAAAAATTGTCACATRTCGAAAATTGCCCGTGTGGACGAGCGTCACATAAAATGTGGCAATTATTTTGACGTTACACTAAATCCCAGTCTCAACATTTTGCACACCAACCAAGATGGCCACGCCGATAGTAAGCAGAACGACCGGATCGACAGAGAGAATGGTATTATTGTTGTTGTAAGAACTAAAACCAACCAACTTTGCTTTGTTTATTGGCATCTCCGCTCTGCAAAATCACACTTGGYGCGAATCTTCAACAATAGTTTGCTGCATGTCCACACGGACAAATAAAACTTGCCACATATAGTTGTCACATAAAAATTGCTCGTGTAGACGGGGCTTTATTCGTAAGCATCTATTTGGTAAAATTTGAAGCGTGTGTCGGAAGACTCCCCAAAATTACATCATGTTCAGGAACGGGGGACATTCTCGTACCCAGACCCTTTTTCATCTTCCAACCGAATTAATTCAAAGCCCTGAGCCTACGACAGGCCGCTAAAGGCGACTAGACTAGTGTCTGGGTACGTGAATGGAACGGGGGATCGGAAACTCAAAAAGGGACTGGTTCTTAGTCGCAACACGATTCTTGATACMCAGGTTCATTGTTGGTTTAGTGACCACGTACAAAGCATCGATCCGAGGSGTCAATTGAAAATTGACCGCGTATCTCTTCTTTCATSCTGCCTGTACCTTTACGCCTCGGTACGGTACTTTGTTCATAKTCACTGACTGAGTACCGTGAATGCAGTCTGAAGCAATCGAAAAACGGATATCATGAAAAGACATATCACACTAAAATCAGTCAAGATGCTGATTTTGAGCTTATTGGGACGAATTAAGCGGCAAGCGTTTAAAACTCGAAAAAAAATAAATAAATAMATCAGGAGATTTAGGGCAGTYYCCCAAAACWACATWCATTCTCTCTGCAAACTTTTCGTAAAATCGGTACTCGTCGAGTATACGTTTTCAGTCAAATAAAAATAATACTAGCTATAGTATGGGTTTCACATGGCAAAGTTCAACACTCGTTCCCAGTCTCCTATTGAATTTGGGGAAGGCTAACCATTTTCTCTCTGACGTGCATAAACGCATTCATTGGCCGCGCCCTCCAAACTCTCAGTCTCAGCTCTATCTTGTACCAGAAGTACATAACCAGAAGTGTCCATATTAATTAAAAAGTCCAGAAAATGCACAGTGTGGACAGCAAACACTTGAAGCGAGAAAAATGAGATGGACTTAAAGCGTCCATTTACATTTTATTAAACAATCACAAGGACTAAGTTCTTTGAACTTAAAACCACCCTGGTCATGCATGAGATGGAAACATGATTGAATTGTTGTCATGCATACCAAATCAGGAAGTAACGCAAGCGATTGTGAAGTGAAATGTCACATTGATTTAGCTCACGCCTAAAATTGTCTAGTTTTATTTCAATTTACTCTAAATTATCGGAAGAAATACCATGCAAATTTATTCAATTATATTTTAGAGTTAGACTATATGTCTGAAGTTTTCAAGTCGTCAGTTGTATTGCAAAATGTTAATGTTGATAAAGCATAATTCACAATCCACGAGTTTTCCATTGTTATCGTTGGGCTYCCTGTGTCACTCCGTCAGTTTTAGGACAAAACCACTCGACCTCCGCTCTCCGCTGGAAACCATTGGTATAGTTAATGGTTGGGGACTCTAACAGTTTTATTTTMAATCGATTTTAGTTTGTAAACACCGTAGATTAGCGGCTSAACTGTGTCTGGGTGTGTTTAGTGATCTAAGAAGTGATGTCATGCGAAGAAAGTCTCTCGCGATAGGGTAGGTTCTTGTTCGACACCAGTTACTGAACCCAAACATGACCCGATAGGCTGTCTAAATTTCACTAGCACGTGAGTGTTCAAGGAAAACAACAAATAACTACTGCAGAAATCGTCKCTTTAACAGTAAGTGCAAACCTTTTTCACCTTTTGGGGCGCAAAGTGTTGCAAACAACGAAGTTTGATACTCTACAAGTTGAGAAYACTTTCAAGAAATTACTGCTGACTCATTGYCGAAAGCGTTATCACCGTACGTCTGAATATATTGATCGAGTTAGCTAAGCATAAAACATTGTCTTTTTAAACTTTTAGATGGGTTTATTATCGCTTGGATCGCCTCTTTCTTGGCAAGAAACAAAGAAACACGCCGATCATGTTCGCCAGCACGGTATTGTGCAATTTCTTCACATTTACAACCGGCTGAAGAATCGCCAAAATGATGTTTTGAAATGGGGAGACGAGGTGAGTCGGACAGTGGACTTTGCAATTTCAGTTTACAGTTCTGTCCATTTCTATTTCTCACACTCACAATCATGGTTTTGCACAGCTTGAGCTAAAGCTATTATAGCTTTCTTTTTTATTATTTCATTTTGTTAGAGGTGTAGAATGTTAAATGCAACATTGATATGATATCGCCTTTATGTATTACTGTAATCCCTCAGTAATCATTCTGTAAATTTAATTGAAAACGATATAAAATGAATTGCTGCTTTTGATAATGTAGCTTCAATTTCGGCATGGTTTTTGACTAAGCTCATAAGCTGTACACGATGATTGCAGCTTCAATTAGGAGAGAATCGATCTTCCTTTCACTTCAAAGAAATTCCATTATGTCAAAATGCTGAGCAAATTTATTTGGGTGTAAATTTTAAGTAYAAAGGTATTGATTATTTGGGAAGCACAATACATTAAAGAATTGGTGTTTTGCTCTTAAGCTTGCATTGTATTACCCCTGTACTCCATATGAAAATGATAAACTTACAATATTAAACTGAGGAGCCCCACAGAGAATGTCATAGGGTGCWYGCTAGAAACTGTTGTTGTTGGTTTTTGAGTATGATGCATCGGCTCGTTCAAAGCCTGCTTTTGTTATATCCAGCTCAGTTAACTTCATCAAAGGATATTCTGGAAATTACTGAGCACTGCATCTGCATCCCTTTCAAGAGCTTTGAATAACAATTAAATTGTACATAGTGCAACGTTTGTGTACATTTATTGCTTGAAATTATCATTTTTATGAGCTGTCAATCACTGTGGTTGTGTAAGGTTCTGGAACAAGCTTTCTTATTGCCTTTATTTTAGAGTTTGTTTTCATTTGACCGTGAAAGATCAGTGGGTCGATTTCGGTTGGCATTGATGYTCTGAATCTATTGTTCTCTTGTTCTTTACTTAATAAATACTTAATTTCTAACTAAATTAACCCATGRTTCATYGGAAMCGTAAAATGAATAATCCATGTCCCATCCAATAAAGAATTGTGCATGCATGCACAATTGATTTTCCTGAGTAATTAGATATTATTGGACTGCAAGAGTTTCAGTAAGAGTTATATTGAAAACTTCTAACATCTGCTTCCTGTTTTCAAGAATTTAGACTATCATTATTAACTTGGGCATTTGTATCAGCCTCAGCTTTTATATAAATACAGTATTAAATACTGTCTGATGAGTGCGTAGCACGAAACTCGGAGTTACAGCAAAATCTTGCCTCTTTGATATCATATTATATAAATACAGTATTACAGACATAAACATGCTTGTATGGTTGACTTCAGAGCTGTTTTTGAAAATCCTTGGAAAAGCTATTTGACTATATCCATCCTATGGTTATAATATTATAAAATTTATTTTTGACACAAAATTCAATTTCTGGCTATGTAAACTTAATCCAGAATGTTAATTATTTATGGAAAGTAAATGCATGGTGCTGGGAAGAGGTTGTTCTCCTACTTGAATCTACTGTACTGTTATCTGCATTGAAACAACATTCACAACTAATTAGAATATTCTTGATATACCATATTTGGTAGTCACAGCTAAATTGACGACAACACTGGCTTTACAAATCAAAAACACTGCTAATAATATCCTTGTATTTTTAGAGGAGATTNGCGAATCTTCAACAATAGTTTGCTGCATGTCCACACGGACAAATAAAACTTGCCACATATAGTTGTCACATAAAAATTGCTCGTGTAGACGGGGCTTTATTCGTAAGCATCTATTTGGTAAAATTTGAAGCGTGTGTCGGAAGACTCCCCAAAATTACATCATGTTCAGGAACGGGGGACATTCTCGTACCCAGACCCTTTTTCATCTTCCAACCGAATTAATTCAAAGCCCTGAGCCTACGACAGGCCGCTAAAGGCGACTAGACTAGTGTCTGGGTACGTGAATGGAACGGGGGATCGGAAACTCAAAAAGGGACTGGTTCTTAGTCGCAACACGATTCTTGATACMCAGGTTCATTGTTGGTTTAGTGACCACGTACAAAGCATCGATCCGAGGSGTCAATTGAAAATTGACCGCGTATCTCTTCTTTCATSCTGCCTGTACCTTTACGCCTCGGTACGGTACTTTGTTCATAKTCACTGACTGAGTACCGTGAATGCAGTCTGAAGCAATCGAAAAACGGATATCATGAAAAGACATATCACACTAAAATCAGTCAAGATGCTGATTTTGAGCTTATTGGGACGAATTAAGCGGCAAGCGTTTAAAACTCGAAAAAAAATAAATAAATAMATCAGGAGATTTAGGGCAGTYYCCCAAAACWACATWCATTCTCTCTGCAAACTTTTCGTAAAATCGGTACTCGTCGAGTATACGTTTTCAGTCAAATAAAAATAATACTAGCTATAGTATGGGTTTCACATGGCAAAGTTCAACACTCGTTCCCAGTCTCCTTTTGAATTTGGGGAAGGCTAACCATTTTCTCTCTGACGTGCATAAACGCATTCATTGGCCGCGCCCTCCAAACTCTCAGTCTCAGCTCTATCTTGTACCAGAAGTACATAACCAGAAGTGTCCATATTAATTAAAAAGTCCAGAAAATGCACAGTGTGGACAGCAAACACTTGAAGCGAGAAAAATGAGATGGACTTAAAGCGTCCATTTACATTTTATTAAACAATCACAAGGACTAAGTTCTTTGAACTTAAAACCACCCTGGTCATGCATGAGATGGAAACATGATTGAATTGTTGTCATGCATACCAAATCAGGAAGTAACGCAAGCGATTGTGAAGTGAAATGTCACATTGATTTAGCTCACGCCTAAAATTGTCTAGTTTTATTTCAATTTACTCTAAATTATCGGAAGAAATACCATGCAAATTTATTCAATTATATTTTAGAGTTAGACTATATGTCTGAAGTTTTCAAGTCGTCAGTTGTATTGCAAAATGTTAATGTTGATAAAGCATAATTCACAATCCACGAGTTTTCCATTGTTATCGTTGGGCTTCCTGTGTCACTCCGTCAGTTTTAGGACAAAACCACTCGACCTCCGCTCTCCGCTGGAAACCATTGGTATAGTTAATGGTTGGGGACTCTAACAGTTTTATTTTMAATCGATTTTAGTTTGTAAACACCGTAGATTAGCGGCTSAACTGTGTCTGGGTGTGTTTAGTGATCTAAGAAGTGATGTCATGCGAAGAAAGTCTCTCGCGATAGGGTAGGTTCTTGTTCGACACCAGTTACTGAACCCAAACATGACCCGATAGGCTGTCTAAATTTCACTAGCACGTGAGTGTTCAAGGAAAACAACAAATAACTACTGCAGAAATCGTCKCTTTAACAGTAAGTGCAAACCTTTTTCACCTTTTGGGGCGCAAAGTGTTGCAAACAACGAAGTTTGATACTCTACAAGTTGAGAAYACTTTCAAGAAATTACTGCTGACTCATTGYCGAAAGCGTTATCACCGTACGTCTGAATATATTGATCGAGTTAGCTAAGCATAAAACATTGTCTTTTTAAACTTTTAGATGGGTTTATTATCGCTTGGATCGCCTCTTTCTTGGCAAGAAACAAAGAAACACGCCGATCATGTTCGCCAGCACGGTATTGTGCAATTTCTTCACATTTACAACCGGCTAAGGAATCGCCAAAATGATGTTTTGAAATGGGGAGACGAGGTGAGTCGGACAGTGGACTTTGCAATTTGAGTTTACAGTTCTGTCCATTTCTATTTCTCACACTCACAATCATGGTTTTGCACAGCTTGAGCTAAAGCTATAGCTTTCTTTTTTATTATTTCATTTTGTTAGAGGTGTAAGACTTGCAACATTGATATGATATTATCACCTTTATGTATTACTAATCCCTCAGTAAGCATTCTGTAAATTTAATTGAAAACGATATAAAATGAATTGCTGCTTTTGATAATGTAGCTTCAATTTCGGCATGGTTTTTGACTAAGCTCATAAGCTGTACACGATGATTGCAGCTTCAATTAGGAGAGAATCGATCTTCCTTTCACTTCAAAGAAATTCCATTATGTCAAAATGCTGAGCAAATTTATTTGGGTGTAAATTTTAAGTATAAAGGTATTGATTATTTGGGAAGCACAATACATTAAAGAATTGGTGTTTTGCTCTTAAGCTTGCATTGTATTACCCCTGTACTCCATATGAAAATGATAAACTTACAATATTAAACTGAGGAGCCCCACAGAGAATGTCATAGGGTGCWYGCTAGAAACTGTTGTTGTTGGTTTTTGAGTATGATGCATCGGCTCGTTCAAAGCCTGCTTTTGTTATATCCAGCTCAGTTAACTTCATCAAAGGATATTCTGGAAATTACTGAGCACTGCATCTGCATCCCTTTCAAGAGCTTTGAATAACAATTAAATTGTACATAGTGCAACGTTTGTGTACATTTATTGCTTGAAATTATCATTTTTATGAGCTGTCAATCACTGTGGTTGTGTAAGGTTCTGGAACAAGCTTTCTTATTGCCTTTATTTTAGAGTTTGTTTTCATTTGACCGTGAAAGATCAGTGGGTCGATTTCGGTTGGCATTGATGYTCTGAATCTATTGTTCTCTTGTTCTTTACTTAATAAATACTTAATTTCTAACTAAATTAACCCATGRTTCATYGGAAMCGTAAAATGAATAATCCATGTCCCATCCAATAAAGAATTGTGCATGCATGCACAATTGATTTTCCTGAGTAATTAGATATTATTGGACTGCAAGAGTTTCAGTAAGAGTTATATTGAAAACTTCTAACATCTGCTTCCTGTTTTCAAGAATTTAGACTATCATTATTAACTTGGGCATTTGTATCAGCCTCAGCTTTTATATAAATACAGTATTAAATACTGTCTGATGAGTGCGTAGCACGAAACTCGGAGTTACAGCAAAATCTTGCCTCTTTGATATCATATTATATAAATACAGTATTACAGACATAAACATGCTTGTATGGTTGACTTCAGAGCTGTTTTTGAAAATCCTTGGAAAAGCTATTTGACTATATCCATCCTATGGTTATAATATTATAAAATTTATTTTTGACACAAAATTCAATTTCTGGCTATGTAAACTTAATCCAGAATGTTAATTATTTATGGAAAGTAAATGCATGGTGCTGGGAAGAGGTTGTTCTCCTACTTGAATCTACTGTACTGTTATCTGCATTGAAACAACATTCACAACTAATTAGAATATTCTTGATATACCATATTTGGTAGTCACAGCTAAATTGACGACAACACTAGCTACAAAACAAAAACACTGCTAATAATATCCTTGTATTTTTAGAGATTTTTTGTTATTTTAAAGCCTGCACTTAGTTAAGAATAATTTTATTAGCTTACAGATGCATTTTTTCAATATTATACAGAGAAAAGGGTAAATTATGTGGAAAATTATGCGGCATGACATCATCACAAGAAAGTAAAATCTGGGAAATTTTACGTATTTTTAGGTTATTGTGTTGTTTTTCATCTAAAACTACAGTTTTATCTTTAGCTACAAAATCGTAGGCAGTACCACCTTGATACTTTCATAATTGGAACACACCTGGTGCAAATCCTAGATAGGATCCTGTAAGATCCTGTAGGATCTTGAATTGGATTTTATACATACTAGGATCCTGACACGATCCTGGTTAGGTTTGTGTCAGGATCTAGGATTCTAGTGGGACTTTAATTGCCAAAATACACAATCACGATTTAGAGGTGAAAAAACCATTGATTGCTGGAATGTTGTTTGTTTCATCAGGTTGAATATACACTGGTGAAGTTTGATCATGAAAATAAAAGAGTCTACTTGAGCCTTAAAGCAATTGATTTRTTGGATGTTCTGCAGATTGAAGAAAACACCAATCCTGGGTAACTGATACAGACTTCACATTGTAATGTACTGCAGTGTTGATTCTAGTAAATGATTCAGTGCATGTAGGCTTAGTGGGAATGTCCTTGATTTCAATAGAGCGGATTTCGTATGAGATGGAAACGAAATACGAAATCCTCATACAAAATCCGCTCGATTAGACTTCAATTAAGACATCACCTTTTTGTGACTGGATAATGTCTTTTAAATTAAGTGTATTTTGAAATACCTAATTTATTTTTTCTTTAAATTTAATTCAAGACAAAATCCTACAGCATGGAGACCAGAGTATGCTGGCTATATGATTGAAGGTAAAACTATTTTATTGACATTTGTTATTTCCGACAATTGTTGTGTATGAATCTATCAAAATGGTGGGAGCTAGCAGTAAAGTAGTGTAAGCTGYGTCGGTATTTCTAAAGAAACAGTTGTGTAAAAAGATAAATTTTACACTGTAAAAAWGTAGGTGAAATAATAAACTTACTGACATTTCGGATGCTAATCCTTCGTCGGAGTAAAGAGAAACGACCAGTGATTAATGTCCGAAACATCGGTAAGAATCTATCAGCACATTTCACCATATTTGATAAAGGAAGGGTCCTCAGAAATTGTATACTCAGGTTGGACAATGTTTTTCTGATACATTATATACAGTAATAGTGTGGTATTGATAAAATGCATGAATGTTACTATATATGTTATCATTATAATTCCTTAGAGAATTCAAAGTTAAAAAGAAATTCTTAGTGTGTTTTTTTTTTTTCTGAATTGGGTGCAGACTTAACCGACAAATCAACCAGTGACTGAATGAGTTTACCAAAAAACTCTTTTCCTGAAATTGCAAACTAATTAAAATGCAATGAATCTTCAAAATGATTTTTCCAGGAAATATACAGCATGCTTATAAATTATTTGTTTTATTTCTGTTTTAGGAACTCCAGGAAAACCACTGGGAGGCTGTATGCGGCATTTTAACATGATAGAAGCCAATATGAAACTAAGGTATGTGCACRGTAAACTCCCKACATCTACCCTTCGTAGCAGCCCTAAAGAGAAATGGGGAGGGACAATGGAGAATGGCRAGGACAAAWTCTCTGCTAGGCCCTCCCCAGTCCCCTAAGGCTACTAATAYCATACCCAAGTTTTGTGTGAACAGACAGAAGATACATAGTATTACATGTACATGATAATCAGGAATTAATAAAGACTGAATGAAGCATATTTTTATCTTTCGTCATTTTGTTTCAAATAGGAGGAAGGAAGTGAATCAACTGTTGGGAGCTGATGAAACTGTTATGTCTATTGTCGGATTCCCAAGGTCGGTATTAATCATAATAGTGGACAAGAGAATAGGGGAATAATTTGTTGACATTTTGGGTCATTTGCATATCATTAGCATAAGTATATGTTTCACTATTAGTAAACCAGCACTACATATTGCAACAACATTGACAATAAGCTTTTCTTGCAATTTTGAGATTCCCATTTTTTTGTGGCAAACAGTTTTAAAAACTCCATAGAAGTTATATGTCAAACTAATTAGCGCTTTTTGTTACTCAACATCTTTGAGCACTAATATCCCATAATAGGCTGTTGCATGTAGAGACCTCAAACTTTCACTTTTTTCATTTAGACTTTATGCTAATTAGCAAAGCTTGTAAACAAAGATCTGCCTATTGAAGATAAGGCTCTGGTGAAACTATAGAATCGATATTCAGTTGCTTCCCAGAGCCTCGTTTCAGCTTATTTTTCCGTGGCTAGTTAACCAAAATATTGAAAGTGGGCTATTTCATACAGCTCCAACACATACTTTAATGTTTCAGGAGTCATTTTACGTAAAATGTTAAAAAAAAAGAAGAAAGAAAAAATGCTAATGAACAACGGACATTTTTGAAAAAGGGTTCACTGGTCTATTGCTTTAAAATACTTTTCAGTAATGGACAAAATTTTAGAACACATTTGGATTTAATTTCTTATTTCTTTATTTACAGGCTTGGGTGTCCAAACTTTACTTGGCCGAATYATGAAACTACACCTGGAAAGGGTGTAACCACTTCACTGTTTTACCCCGATATGGCAATCTTCCAAGGACATCCCAGATTTKCGTAAGTAGAACTACATGATTTTAGAATTATTTTGACAAGAAAGGCTGGCCGAGCGGTAAGAGCGCTCTCACCTCTGTGGACCTTGTTCCAATCTCGGTGGGGACGCCATATGTGATTTGAGTTTCTTTCGTTCTCTTCCTTGYTTCGAGGGTTTTCCGGGTCTTTTCCGTTGTTTCCTCCCTCAGTCAGTCGACGTTGCTATGTAAAGGAAGCGCCTAGCYGGCAGCACGCCTATGTGTAAGTGTATGTAAAATGTGTCTGTAATATATACCACTTCGACACGAGAGCGCGTCGAGCTGCGTCTTTCGCAATTCAGCACCCGTGCTGCCATGAAGGACGATAAGCACGTACGCCACCTTATTTTCGTTGTTGCTATTTTTACAGCGGAAACCCTAGCATCGCGACCTTGCCCAGCCTTTTGAAGTTCTTTAGGATTTTTGGTTTGGCTTAGAATTGGGTTTTCGCTGTAGCATCCTTATAATTAACCATATGTTTATAAGTTAATGTGTAATTATGGTATCAATCTGTAGGACATTATCAAGAAATATCAGAGAACGAAGAGGTTCTAAAGTTGCCATAAACGTACNATGGTCAATGTTGTGTGCAGATCTCATCTATGGAGTTTGAATTTGCTGGCGAAGGCCGGTCACGTGACAAGCACTAGGTCAAAACCCTATCCCAAAGCCCCCATGTAGACCTACAATAGCACAAGGCTAACCCTAAGCCAATTCTTAACCCTAAGCCTAAGAAAACAGTCCTAACCCTAAGTATGTGTTAGCCCTAACCGCAATTTTAACAAATAGTGCGAAAAATCACAGGTCACGTGACCCTCATTTTTGGGATTAAATTATTGAATACCCAGTAATTCTATTTTTTATAAATCTGACATCATATTAGACTTCCAAAAGGCATTGGATACCTGTGTTAATTATGTGACAAGCGGCCACTAAATAAACTCTGCTTTAAATAATTTCTCTTAAAAATACATTGCAAGCTTTGAGAAGACAGAGATCCATACAACCTAACGAAGCTAAACATCTCCCCAACCTCCAACCCCATCGCTGTTCTAATCACTATTCCCTTATAAGCTGTTGATTATCACGATCACAGTAAATTTGCAAGGAAATAAACAGAGCACATTTGGATAACGTAAATTAAGAACTCTAATTTCATACTTGTTATGTTTAATAATTTCAAAGCATTGGTGCTAATCACGCTCTAAAACTCATTATAAAATATTTGATATATAACGCGCGCTCTGCCTCTGGTTGGCTGACGACCGTGCTTATATCAGAGGACATGACAAAGACACCTCTTACCGGCAAAATTTGTTTTTCGCTCGAGAAACGCAGAACAATTATTTTAAAGAAATATAAAACGGCAAGAGGCTTGCTTCCCTCATGATTTTCAACTCCCACCGTGTTTATATCAGAGGACAGAGACACCCGCGCAAAGTTGCTATTAATTTACGATAGAGAAGGCACGGGCATGTTTATTGGAATCTTGTGACAACACAACAACTATAATGGCCTGAACAATGCGTGCTTAATTCGTTCAGATACTTAACCGACTAATAGCTATAATAAATCTGACTGTTATGTGTAAATATTTACCGTTGTTAGCGGGAAAGCGACGGAGAACATGATCTACAATAGGTCGAAAAATGTTTCAGTCGTGGTGATAAACTTTAAAAAGTCTAAGCATTTATAAATATTTAAAAACAAAAATACTCACCGATGCTTCTTTCTTCTCTTGTCCATCGTTGGGCGCACAAAAGAATCAAAGCAATTATAACAGTAATAATGTTAATAAACAATACAAGGTACCACAAGAATTCCAGGCAATGCGTGCTCAAAAATCAAATGACAACTAACAACAAACATATCTCCGAGGCGTAATGTGATTGGACTAGCCGGTCTAGCTCTGTAAATATCTATTGTGTGAGGGTTGATTTAGACCAATCAAAAGAGAGGATTTTGATGGTCTGACAATACTGTCAACATATCTGATATATATTACATGTTTCATGTAAGGCACGCAACTGCCATGTAAATCATTGATCCCGATCCCAGTTGAAAAACCTTTGATCCCAGGTTAAAAACGTTTGATCCGGATCCTGAGTCTAAATCCTGATCCCTGATCCCAAAATAGCCCAAAAACTGACGCTGATCCCTGATTCCAATACCTCGTTACTAGCCTGCTATTTCACCCCGACCTGCTCCCAGTCTGGCCTTGTAGCTCAGCTGGTAGAGCATCGGTAGTACAAATCCGAAGGTCGTGGGTTCGAATCCCAGCGAGGTCGGAAATTAATTTTTCCGAATTTATTCCTAAGGGTCTTTCTCCCGGAATAGCCTCCTTCTTAGCACTATAACTTTCTCTCATTTCTATATCTGTTCCTGATTAAAAAGATGTTGTCAGGTTCAAAAAGGTGACGCGTCGAAACTGAATAAGATTAAAGAGGATTTTCTATACTCTGCTGAAAATTGATATTAGTTCGTTTTCATTCTAAAGATCAATCTGAGT